TCCTCATCCTCTGCAGACTCATACGCTAGCTGCTCTTCACTATCTTCACTGCTTCTTGTATTTGAGAAAAGAGCTGAATTGGGAAGAAAGAAAGACACTGTGATGCCTCTCTTAGTGGAACTTGCAGACATTTTCAGAAGAGTTCTTAAAACATGTGAGAGGAAGGCAGAGGCTGGAGGGGCACACCTACTGTTTCACATCTTAACAGAATTTGATTAAGCCCAAAGCAATCTGTTTTCATACTTCAGGACTGCTAGCAGTCCTATGCTTCCTCTCCCAGCTGATTCTGACCTCTGTCACTGGGATACTGCTTTGCCTCAGCATGCATAAATAATTTCCTTGCTTGTTGTTCGATTAATAACCTCAATAAAAATAAAATGCCACCAATAAATACATCATTAAGAACTGGATCTTGATTATCACTGTGCAAAGACATCTAAAACCTGAAGGCTGTGACAATGGGAAGATGAAATAGAAGACCTTTACTTCCAGCTATTCCTAATAGCAGTAGTAGGCAGCAAGATAGTAATACACTTTGATGTTCAGAAGCATCCCTACCAGGTCTTGTGGATCTGATTATCTGCTTTATCATCAGAGACATGGCATCTCGCAGCTCATCGCTAGTCTTTGGAACACACCACCCATCCCGCTCTGTGCATTCTGACTCTGTGCCGTCATTACGACAGATAATTTTCTGTAGGCTAAAAAGCAGCAAACGAGAAGGAAACGTTAGCCTTCTACTTTCAGATACAGGCCTCAAATGAGCCAAGTCATGGCTTACTTCCCTTTTACTTCATTGAGTTGGAGTAGTTATTTATTTAGGTAATTGTCACATGAGAAAGGAAGTTCATGTGTGAAAAGTCTGTTCTATTTTAATGAAGCTAACCACCTCTCAAGTTTCTGGTCAAGGAGAGAGGGGAATGGACTGGCTATAAACAATAGAGACAATCTCAGGCAGAGTTACAGGTTGGGCAGAGAAGTGGTTCAGAGCAGCCCTGTGGGGAAGGATTTGGGGGTGCTGGTTGATGAGAAACTGAGTATTAGTCGCTTCAATGTGCGCTTGGGCCCAGAAACCACCCGTGTGCTGGAATGCGTCAAAAGCAGCGTGACCAGCAGGACAAAGGAGGTGATCCTGCCCCTCTGCTCTGCTCCCATGAGACTCCACTTGCAGCACTGTGTGCAGCGCTGGTGTCCTCACATAGGAAGGACATGGAGCTGTTGGAGCAAGTCCAGAGGAGGCCACGAGGATGATCAGGGGCTGGAGCACCTCCTGTATGAAGACAGGCTGAGAAAATTGGGGCTGTTCAGCCTGGAGAAGAGAAGCTGAGTGGAGACCTCAGAGCAGCTTCCAGTACCTGGAGGGGGCTACACAGATGCTGGAGAGGGACCTTCATCAGGGACTGTAGCGATAGGACAAGGGGTGATGGGTTTAAACTGAAACGGGAAGTTCAGGTTGGAGATAAGAAATTCCTTACTGTGAGGGTGGTGAGGCACTGGCACAGGCTGCCCAAGGTGGTTGTGAATGCTCCATCCCTGGCAGTGTTTAAGGCGAGGTTGGATGGGGCGTGGGCAATATGGTCTAGGGGGAGGCGTCCCTTCCCATGAGAGGGAGGTTGGAGCTAGAGGAACTAGATGATCTTAAGGTCCTTTCCAAGCCACACCATTCTATGATTCTATGTTAACAGGCTTTGAAATCCAGCTCTAACCGAAGACTCAGCTGCCAGTGTGCAATACCTTTCCACATTCAAATCACAGAGCTGGTAGAACATCTGCCGATAAGGGGGTAAGGCTCCTTCTTGAAAAATATAGATGGATTCCTAGGAGGAGGAAAGAAGGAGAAAGGATTAATGTACATTTTTATGGTGCAACAGGACAGCTTTGGCATAACCGATCTGTACTTCCAGTGGGCTGAATCAAGATCAAGGCACTTCCAATGCAAATCAGTTCCACAGCACAGGGCTGCATATGATAAAAAATAAAGCTGAATGAGAAATGCAGCAAAATTTCACTGCAGCAACAGTCACAACAGCACAGTTGTGCAGAGAACACGCTTCATCTCTTCAAACTGCAGCTGTGTAGGCTGTTACTGTTTAACAGTGGATCATAGGTTTCGTTCTAGCAAAAAGGGAAAAATAAAAGACTCCTGGTTAAATACCTATTTTGCAGTGCTGGATTTTACCGGACAACCTGATAAATACGTGGCCATTTTTTGCATTTCACTGCTCACAAAGCTCCAGTTTTATCAACTGAAACGGAATGCTCATGACATCATCTAAGACTAGGGCTGAGAGTACCAATCCCATCTTGCAGAAATACGTTCAGTACACAGCAGGTTGAATTCTGTAGTGACATGTATAACTAGCAGCTTCCCAGGAAATCTGAGGACATCAATTCACTCACAACTGTTCCCTCACTGACTGACAAAAGAAGAATCAGCACTTTTTCACTAAGTTATTTCAAGATTCTAGTTAAGGAGAGTAATACTTACCTTCAGTTTATACCTGCTGGAGGCAGTCCTTTTTGCACTGGAGGCACTGGATGTACCAAGCCCCTGTTTCAGATCATGTACACTGACTGTGTGACTTACTGAAGGACAAAAAAAGAGAGTCCTGATTAGGGACATCTTTCATCCTGTGGCATTGTATTGTCACTTCTGTATGCTGACTCAACTTTGTTGGTCAGTAAAAACCAGACCAAGCCAGCAACTGAGCACGTTACCCATTCTTCAAAGACATTTCTAGACAGGTGCAGGAAAGGTGGCGAGTTCGGTGGCTTTTTCCACAGCACACCTGTCAATAATTTTAACTTCCTCTGCTGTTCCTTGACAAAAAAAAAAGAGAAACCTCTCCCCTCACTCTGCACCATCACTAAACAAAGTGAATGCTGAATTCCCTCAGTATTGCTGACAGAACTCCCTTCTGTCTGCTAACAGACACTGTGGCTCAGCCAGACATGCACCCAAGATTCTCACAACACTTCCCAGAAGGAGACTCTTCTGCTGGCTTAACAGCAACGCCATTTTATAAACAGAAATAAAGCTCCAGTTTTGGCTCAGGTAGAACACAGGAAGACCCTTCACCACCTGGCACTAGGATGGACTAAACAAACAAACAGAAGAGCCAGAAAAGCCCTTCTGAAGGCACAGCATACCAGGCTTCTTGACAGTGATGGGCAGACTGTAGTTATATGTACTGCGTTTTGCTTTCACGGGCATGTCATTAGGGGCATAACCTGGAGGAGGAGAAAAGAGAAAGCCAATAATGAACAGAGGGTTAGCAGCCTGCAGAATCCCTAGCTCAGTAACAGAAGTGGTGGGCTGGTATGTGAAAGGCAGGGTGATCCTTGGGGTACCGTGATTTTAGCAAGGTGGAGAGAGGAGAGCTGTCAGATCTATAAAACCCTTTAGATCGGGAGATGTGATCTGATGGCAAGGACTGGATGCTAGCTCTGTCATGGACTTATTAGATGACCTCAGAAAGGTCTGAGACTGAGCATCCTGCACAAGACATCGAGGTCCTCAAGAGAAAGCTACTATATAAGTAACAGAATGCATTGCTCAGTGCCTCCCCTGAGCAAGAGGGAAGATGGTCTGCTACATCCACTTGGGAATTGAACACATGGAGGAGGAAAGTCAGCCAGCTGACTGTATAGTCCATCCACTGAGTTTGGAATGTGCCAAATGAGGAAAGACATTGCATACTATAGAATAAAAGTATTAAAGTAGTATATGGAATAACTACAGTGAGCAATGAGCTCAAGAGGCATCATCTTCATCAGAGCAGAAAGAGGGCAAAGAAGTGTGAAAAACAAATAAAAAGAAAAGCACTACCAGGATTAACTAGAAAGCAGAGGGAGCATCTCTGTGGGTTGGGCTCTTTTACCGTATTTCATTCCACAGCGAATTCGGAAGTCCAGTACTTGATAAATCTTTGCTTCAGGGTGTTTTCTGGGGTCATACCCAAACCTAACCCATAGGCTTCTCCAAGGACCTGTTAACTATAAACACACATGGGGGAAGATGGTTACAAGAAACAGGACAGTGTTGCAGAATTTCTTCAGTACAGTGTTGCAGAGAATCTTAGACAATTTTAGTATTTATATCATTATTTTAGTATTTGTATCATTTTAGTATTTATATCATTTTAGTATTTGTATCATTTTCCAAAGGTTATTTCTTTTACCAGCTCTTTTCACAACAATACATATTTATATACTGAAACTCAGGCAATCAATGTATCGAAGCACAAATATTTGTGTGCTTTTACAAACTGACTTGCAACATCACAACAAAGTGTTTGATTGGAAAAAACCTTCCACCTACGCCAGATGAACAGCCAATTTGAGTGTCTGACTGAACTGCAGAGCTGATTAGAACGAGTGGTGCGAACAGTTTCTGAATTCTCCATGGCTTTAACTTCTGTTCAGAAGCTAGGCTTTCCTTCCAGCCTTCTCTTTACATAAGCTTAAGCACAGGTACTTTGGTGGTAGGGCCTCAAAAATGCTAAAGGGCCAGGAATACCCAGCTGATGCTCTCTTGCTCTGCCTCCTAGCAGCCTCAGACAGGCAAAAGGGCAGATGTACGGACTTACCATGTAATAGGCCAAATATGGCAAAAGAAGTTTCAGCTTGTCTGGGTGGACACTGATATTGGCTTTCACTGCATTCCGAGACCAGACAGGACGGACTTCAAAGAGCTAAAATAATACAAAAACAACCATGGAACAGTGGGAAGTGAGTTACCAATGGCAGTTCAGCTTTCCAAGTGGACTTTTTTCTGTGCTGGGGCCTCTGGTTATCAAAATGGTAATGTACGAACTAGAGGCAGGAAAAGGAACATCATGTGAGCTGGGTGCAAAGACAGATTCAAATCTTGACTTAAACGATTGAACTGAACACAGCAGTGCCAGTGGTGGCTACTGACACTTGCTGTATCAGTCAGTTACAATCACCAAGAATTTTTGGGGAAGCCAGAGAAAATAAATCAATGCAGTTTCTTCCTTCGCAGTATGCTGCAGTCCAGCCTCAGCCTGAGAGTAAGGCACATACCTTTCTCAGCTCTTCCTCCACCTTTTTATCAACAGGATTTGTGCACACTTTCTTCCAGGTCTGTACAGCAGCATCCAGTGGTTTAGCTGGGACTTCTTTGTCATCAAAGTTCACAAAGATAGCATTGTGTGGGCGACGGGCCCTGCTGAGGCCAATCAGGTTCTCACCAGACACCTGGGGGTTGTTGTATCCCTCCCTAAGAAACAGGGGAAGGATCGGGTCTGCTTTTTGCCCAGGCACACACAGACCTGGGCCCTTCACAGGAAACATGCGAAAATGGAAGCTTGTGAGCCAGATTTCAGAAGAGAAGGGGCTCGGCTGAGTGAGCAATGGCTCAGTTTGTCTTTCACCCCACCTCCCTATCACACACATAAAAGAATCTTGTGATACCAGTGCAGAAGGAAAGTTTAAATAAAAGAAAAAGGAAAAGGAAAAAAAAGGAAAAAAAAAAAGGAAAAAAAAGGAAAAAAAAAGGAAAAAAGGAAAAAAAAGGAAAAAAAGAAAAAAAAAGGAAAAAAAGGAAAAAAAGG